TTATTTCAAGTGCATATTATCTAAATATCTTATTTTAAGAGTAAAATTGCTCATTCTGTTGGCAAACCATCTCATTTACCTGCTCAAATTAAGGGTAAATACACTTAATTTAAGACATTTTTTTACTCATTTTAAGACATTTTTCACTCATTTTTAGACCATTTTTGCAGTGTACCCATGGTAGGAGTTCAGGAGGACAGAAAACGGATAAAGAATGGATCCTCTTTGAGCCTCACAAAAACAATGAGGGACAGAGAGCGAAATTTATCCAACTTCTTGAAATAAAATAACTTTAGGAGGAGAAAAAAAAACAGATAAAGTAGTGATCCTTTTTGGGCCTCACAAAAAAACGGACAAAAAGAAATAAAAACTCGAATAAACTTTCCTTCACTCACCTTCTTTTCTTTAGACGTAGATCTCAATATGTTTTTATTATATGAACATTCTCTATCTGTTCTGGTTTGAGCTTTATAGAACCTGCTGGTGTTTTTTATTTATTTTTATTTAGATAGCTTTTTCCTAATCTGTGCAAGTGAAACGCTGCAAATTGTTTTAAGGTGTTTATAGCTTAGAGACAGAAGTGAAAAAAATCTGTGCAGATCTGCCCACCCTGTCTGATTGGAGCCTCTCTATAAGCATTCAATGTGATGTGGAAAAACGGATCCGGTGGGATCAGGGCTTAAAACCTAGGCTACTTAATTTTCTGATACCTCTTTATTTACCTTTAAAACATAATGTTTCTTAGAGGAAATCTCTCTGAAAGGTGAAACCGTTCTAATTCCATCTAAAACATCTTTATTTCAGAGATCTTAAAAAAAAAATCTACAGAAACAATCATAAAAAACAGCTTTCTTAGACTTTAGGGGTAAACTTAGTACAGAAACATCTAGAGGACATTTAGCCCCGGAGTATTGAGACGGACTTTGCAGGCCGCGTATATCAGGCAGGCTGTAAAAGGAAGATTCTAAAGTATCTATACTCAAGAGGATTTTAATTAAGGAAGTTTTATCAGTTCAGCTTATTTTTTGTTAAAGGAAAAGTCCGGTCAGCGAGGAATAATCAGTGGATCATTATCTATGCCTAAAACTTATACATTCGTGTCACTGCAAAAAATAGAAATCTCAATAAGTTATTTTTTCTTAAAATAAGTGTGTTTTTCCTAGAATTGAGGAGATAAGTAAGACACTTTGCCAATGGAACAAGACAATTTCCTTTTAAAATAAGAAAAAACTATTTTATCGTCTTATTTCAAGTAAATATTATCTAACTATCTTATTTTAAGAGTAAAAATACTCATTCCATTGGCAGATCATCTTATTTTTCTGCTCAAATTAAGGGTAAATATACTTAATTTAAGAATTTCTTTACTTATTTCTGGATTGTTTTTGCAGTGTACATTTTGGGGACTCATAGGTACTTGTGGGGACCAACAACTG